TTATCCATGGTAGATATTAAAGGAAGCCAGTAGCAGACTAAAGGCCCAAGTTGTAATCTTTTAATCTGGCAAGAGGTTTGTTATTACATGTACTACTGGAAAATAATCACTTTGACTATATTTAATTTTAATTATCTTTAAACATGAATGAAATCAAGTTTAGCTGTTGCCTATTATTTATTTTTTTGTAACATTATTTATTGATTTGTAACATTTGTGTCACATCAAACTCTGCCTCCTCATCACAATTAAAACAACATCAATAATAAAACAACGTAATACACATATTTCTAATACCATAAATTTTAAAAACCTGGTACTAAAGCTGAACTTTCAAAATACAGTCCCTCGGTTAAATTGTCTCATCCACCTCACCCTGTCCTAGCACTTGGTGTTAAGAACAGGTCTTTAATGCTTTTTGGAACGCTAGGAGAAGGAGGTAGAGGCCTGCTGAACTTCAAGGGGAAGGCAATTCATAGGGCAGGGGTTATAAAAAGGCACACTTTCCGATCCCACAAAGTGCAATGTTTAAGGGAAGAGACTAGGAGTGTGCCCACCCTATTGGTAGGATGGGTAATTGTTCTTAGGAAGAGATGAGCACCACCCTCTAGAGTCGGGAATGAGTAGCACATATGTCCAAGGGGAACTTTACCTTTACCTTATTCGCTGTATTAAACATTACGAATGCAGGATAGACTTGTTCAGCCAAAATGTTATTTAATTCACAAATCTAATCCTTGTCATTTGTGATGTGAATTTTTTAAAAGTTGGAATCTTTTTTTAAAAAAAGCCCATCAGAGTAACATTTTAAACAATATGTGTGTTATCTTGTGACTTGGCAGCGCTTTTCAATTAATAAATGCATTGCTCTCCCAATAGGCGTAGTTCAGGTGCAGCAAAAAGTGTTGGGCATCATTCCATCAACTACTGGAGCAAACCAACAAACATTTACTTCATTCCAGCCAAGGACAGCAACTGTAACTATTAGGCCAAATAATACAGGAACTGTTTGTACAACAAGTGCTTCACAAGTAAGTTTCACTCTTTCTTCTATTAGGATAATACAGGACCTGTTTGAGTGACTTTGGGATGATTTCAGTTTTTATCTTTTAATGAGTACTGTAATACATTGAGATCCTGTCTTTTTGGTTACTTCAGTTGACCAGGGGCAATACTGATTGGTAGTTCTGGTGACATATGATTCAGATATTACTCTGTCAAGATATCTGGGATAGATTGCTTTGCTCAGATATGAAATGTCTGAGAATAAGTCATTTGCATTTTTTAAAATCATAAACTGGCTGTCAGTTTGGGGAGAGATGCTGCAGTTACTGCTGCTGTTGAATAAAGCTATATGTTAAAAAAAAGTGTTAGGGTATGAACAAAAGAAGACCGGCTTAAATAGAAAAAAATGCAGTTTGATTTTTAAAAAGCTTTCTTGTGGCTTCTGTGAAGAGTATTTTATTTTCATGGCTTTCTTTTGCGCACGCGCACACACACACACACACACACACGTTACTTTTAGCTTTGCAGGATAAGAAAAAGTTGTTTGTTTGTAACTTGTACAGATAATGCCTGGGACACCTCTTCGGCCTGGAATGACGGTCATAAGAACACCTCTTCAGCAGTCAGCTCTAGGAAAGACCATCATCCGAACACCTGTAGTAGTACAGCAAGGTGTTATTCCAACCAGTAGGTTATTTTTTAAAATAATTTCCAGTGTGTGGAGGTTGTGGTTTGTTTCTCTATTTTGAATTTTCTTCTGTATCATTCACACTTATTCAAACGTGTCCAGGTTGAAGAATTTGTATTTAAATAATTGATAATACTTAAGAGCTTTAGATTCAATCACTCTTACCAGAACTAAAAGTTAAATAGCCGCTTGCATTTTGTTCATTTTGTTTAGTTCCTTTTTCCCATTTGAATCAAATGAGATCAAAACTAATGCTTAGGCAAAGAACTCATGCTAGTACAATCTTTGTTCTTCTTTGAATAGTTGACATCAATCACAAAAGGTTATTAAAAGTCTCTACGGTTTCAAAAACATTTGCCTTGCAGCATTGGAAGGTCTGGTTGAGATACACAATTCCTAAGTCCCCTCGGAGCATCAGAATAAATTGAACATTTCTGTACATTCTGTACTATAAACAATTTCATTCAGTATGTAAAAAAAAATAATTCATCAAAATATTATTAACTGTGTGACAATATAAACTATTTTCAGCCCTTTGAAGGAACCAACTCTGATTTTGTTAAACAGTGTACTGTTGATTTTTCTGGTTAATGGATCTTACTATTGAAGAAGAAATATGCAGTTTTTAAAATGATTGGGTAGGTTAATTTTTTAATAAGAGTCACTGGCCAAAGGATTGTAAAATCCTGTGATATGTTAATACAGGCCAAACACAACAAGTGGTCACCCAGATCATCAGAGGTCAGCCTGTGTCAACAGCCGTGTCTAGTCCTGCTACAGTTTCTGCCAGCCAAAAGGTGTCAACAACTGCAGGAATACCTTCACAGCACCTGCAGCCACAAGCCACTCCACCACATCCTCCTCGGCCTCAACAGGGACAGGTGAAGCTTACCATGGCGCAACTCACACAACTCACACAAGGACAGGTAAGCAGTCATGATTTGGGAGAATGGGACTCCTGTAATGAGCAAAAGATCCCAATCAGCACACCAAAAAAAGATAGCTTTATCAGGGAGTGCTTCAGGCAGAGAGAACTCGGCGTTCAGTGGTACACCACTGAATTTCAGCCGCACCGTTTCAGAATCTCCGGAAGCTGCAAAATGGGTTTTGGGGAATTATTGTTGCCCTGCTGTTTTGAATGAAGCTTCTATTCAGAAAAAAGACTCTTTTCAAGTGGTAAATTTTATTACAAAGTTAAACTACAGGAGGCTTATAAATGTTATCCTCTTTTTAGAGATATTTTTCATTTTCTTTAGTTTTAATTCTCTGCTTTTTGCATACTGTGTGCATTTCTTCATAGTATTTGGGTGCTTGAAACCCAAGTTGTGAGATGTTAAAGAGATTCACATCATGACATCAACGTTTCTCCTTTCGGTTTTAGATTTTGACGGGTTTATGCTATGACTTATTGGTAGGAAATTTTCTTCTTTTAGAAATCATCTATATTGTAGACAGTGCAGATTGCAATGTCCATATTAACTCTTATGGGGTTGCAATTCAGAACATAAAGCAGCATTGGCTCTTTTATTGACATAACTTTTGCTTTGTGTTTTTTGTCTTGTCTCCCTTTTAGGGTGGCAGTCAGGGATTAACCGTAGTAATTCAGGGTCAGGGTCAGACAACTGGGCAGTTGCAGTTGATCCCACAAGGTGTGACGGTAATCCCAGGTCCAGGTCAGCAACTGATGCAAGCCGCTATGCCAAATGGTACCATTCAGCGCTTTCTGTTCACCCCATTATCTACTGTAGCTACAGCAGCCAGCACCACTTCTACGACAGTTTCCACCTCAATATCAGGTATACTTTTTATGCGTAACGCTCACACCCCAAAAAAGGAAAATCAGCATTTTGATACAAGCTTTAAAATGTTTAGGTTTTTTTTCCCCCATCCCCCCAAGGTGATGATTGGGAGAAAGTTGGATAACTGTTGGGCAGAAGTATAATTCGCTTTTGCTGCTGTTGCTATTTTTGTTTTGGGAGCCCTTGGGTGGACTTTGGGTTGCAGTGCTAGATTGCACTCTGGTTAGGGGAGTGAAGGTTTCAGATATGAGTGGAAGAAGAATGGGACGTTGCCCTGTGGAGGAGTGGGAGAAATGATTTGACCACTTTCTAGTGGAAGCAGAATGGGCCTTTGTGTATGCGATCTTCATTCAGTGCATTTCCACCTGGGTTCAAGAGTTGGAGTCTCAGCTCATAGCAGTAATAGTTTTGAGGGCCTACCAAAAGAGTGTAGCACAGCTGAATGGGAGGTATTGTGTGAGATGAAGGCTTGCAGATGAAGCAGACTGGTCTCTTTAACAGACAGATGGCTCGTGCTGTGCTGGTGAGAACTGGAATGGCAGAAGCTTGGTTGGATTCACCTAATCTTGCAGCTGAGCTCTGTAGACTGCTAATAAGCATGTGAGAACTTTGTGAGAACCTGGCCACCCTGAACCTACTGAGAAGCAGCAGGGGAGATGGCTGTGATGAATGATCTGAAAGAGGTTGATAAAGTTGCTAAAGATTTTCCAGGGTCTTTAGAGGACAAAAAATAGAGACTGGGAAGGACAACTGACATAGGGCAGATAATATTATCCGAGAGAGAATTATGGTGAGAAACTAGGACCAGGCTGTACATGATGCAGGAAGAGTTCATGGTTTTCTTCCTTTCTCCAATTGATGATAATAGCTCTGGAAAGGTCTGACCCAGGGCCCCTGATTTGTGGGCTGCCTTAGGATTCAGTGATCTCCCCTCTCCTGTTTATTAACATGACAGGAACCTTATGATTGTTGATCTGGCCACTTGTTTGTTAGATCCATGTCCCTCATGGCTGGTTAAAGCTTCTTGGGGGTGGGTTGAGGGGTAATATGTGGGTGAATCTATATGGAGCATGCACGTGCACCTCCTGCCCGCCAGCTGATCTTTGTGTCTCTGCCGAGCATCTGTGAAGGGCTTGCGTGCATGCGGGACAGGCACTCAGTCCAGAAAAGCTTAGCCATCATTGATCTAGAGACTGTTCAGGTCTGGAAGGGGAGGAACAGGCTCAGGCTCAATTCTGACAAGACCAAGTGGCTGTGACTATTCGGCTCTTGTGGTGCTGATGGTTTCCGCTTGTTGATTCTTGATAGGTAGCTGGACTGAAAATCCTATCTCAAGATCACTGCTTTGCATGATGCTGTCCTTGAAGACTACTTGCAATCTGTAACTGATCCACAACGCAGTGGTACAAGCAGCTATCGGCACACTTTGATACACCTAACTAATACCCCTGCAAACTGTGCTAGTTAAATTGCACTCCTGGATGCAATTTAAAGTGTTGGTTATCAGCTATAATGTCATTCATAGCCTAGGCCCTAGGGTTTTATTATCTGGGAGTCTGCCTGCCTCTCTCTCACTATTTTTGACTGTCCCGTAAAGTTCAACAGAGTAGGATGTTTCATGTCCTCTCTAAGGTCATCTGATGAAACCTAAAAGGACACTTTCCCTCTCATGATACCTGTTTAATCTTTAGACACTTGGCTTCTTCTGTTTCTTCTGGCATAGATTGGTGTTGTGCCATTTGGTGTGTGGTGTCCCTTGGGTTTTTGTACTTTGTTTCCACTGTGACTTTATGTCATGTTATTTTCTCTGTTTTTAGGGATTTTAATAGTACACAACCCAGAATCTCTGCTTATTTTGGAGGTTTTTATCAAACTAAATTTAAAAAAAAAACCAACCGTGAACTTCAGATCACTGGGTATTGTGTAATGAATGTTTTTAGGGCAGAGGAGCTGTTCTTTGCAGCTGTGAATATGAGTCTTGCTTTTATCTCCCCAGCTGCAGGAGAACAGAAGCAAACATCTCTTGCACAGACCCAAACACAGCCTATGCCAGCGCTTCCACCTGCAGAGCCCAAGCCTGCCCCTCCTCCACTCTCAGCTCAGCCTCCAAGCAGTTCAGCTCAGACTGTGATGCCTGCACAGACCCAGACCGGGCAGGCGCCAGGTCCAGTTGAAACCCACCCCTCCTCTGAAGCTCAGGTTCCACCTTCACTTCCAAGTCCAGCAGTCACCTCTGAAGCACAGCCACCCAGAACACAATCCACAATAACTCCAGCCGTGACTCAGCCCCCATCCCCGAGCCTTGCCCAAGGGCCACCTTTAGCTCCAGTACAGAACCAAGCCCAGCCAGTTATGCATCTGCAGACCCCACCCAAAGGACAGCCGATCCAGCCAACTCAGGTACAGACGGTGGCCCCACAGCAGGTTCAGATCCAACCACATCCATCTGTGCAGATCCAGACCCAGCCATCCCAGGTCCCAACTCTGTCCCCTGCTTCAACTGTCAACCAAGTCATGGGACCGCCTCCACGCCCTCAGCTGCAGATTCAGCCCCCCCAGACCAAGGTCATTACTGTGCCACAGCTTCAGCAGCAAGTCCAAGTATTTTCCCAGCTCCCGTCCCATATGGTGGCCCAGATTCAAGCTCAGCAGAGTGGCCTGCCTCAGCAGATTAAGCTCCAGTTACCAATTCAGATTCAGCAGGCCAGCGCGGTGCAAACCCACCAGATCCAGAACGTAGTAACTGTTCAAGCCAGTGTCCAAGAGCAACTGCAGAGGGTACAGCAGCTCAGAGAGCAACAGCAGAAGAAAAAACAGCAGCATATTGAAATAAAACGGGAACACTCCCTTCAGGCTTCTAATCAGAGTGATATTATCCAAAAACAGGTAAAAGTGTTTTAAAGGGAAAACAAAACTTTTATTTCTCAGTTGGCATATCGCTACATTTACTAGAATCAAAGTGAATCCTCCCTTCTCCCCTGGAATTAACTTTTTAAAATGGGAGAATTAGCTTAGTTTGGCTGAGAATGTTATAAATGAAATGAATGACATTTTTTTTTGTTCGTTTGTTTAATTATTCTTTTGGAGAGAGGTTATTCTAAATTTAGCTTCATCTTAAGTATGATAAGGAGAAATCATTGAGCTTTTGAGGCTTAAATTCTTGATGATGTACTTTTTATTTTCTCCTTGTCAAAATAAGAGATGTTTGATCTAAATCTCTTTAACATAACTTTTCCAAAATATTGACTAATAACAGCAATAGAAAGAAATTTAACAGCAGAATTGAAAAAAAGTTTCAATTAACCAAGACTGCTCAGAATTCATCTGTGTTTAGAAATTTGCACTTTCAGATTGCAGTAAGAGTCATCTTTTGTACTTTCTTCAACTGTAGAATATTAAGGATATATTTTGAGAAAAAGAATGCTATGTATGATAAGGGTATTGCCAAATATCTAAAATATTTTCAGGTACAAAATATATCACATAAATGATCTACCTTTTCCTACTGCAGAAGGAAGTGTCCTTGCATAAGTTGTTTCCCACCTTTGGTGGGAAAGCAGGGAGCAGTCCATCAAATATCTATGGCATATGGGTGTCCAACATTGACAACTTTTATTTATGGACTTCAGTTGCCAGAATTTCCCAGCCAGCATGGAATTCTGGGAATTGAAGTCCATAAGTCTTAAAGTTGCCAACGTTGGATGCCCCAGTCTGTAGTCTTCTGTGGGAGAAATTATTCTCCCATCTCATCCCGAGCTCTAGGACATCAATGTTACCTCGCTTCTGAACCCCTTTCTGTTTTTTCTTCATTTTGTTTGGGATATTCTTGAAACTTGAAAAATCTATGGAAGGAAAGGGATATGATAAGAATCTAATAAGGAGCTGAAATTTTAAAAATAATTATCCCAAAGGGCATGGTCGATTTCTGATTATTTTATTGGAAAGTATTTATTTTGGAGGAAGGTAAATATTGAGAGATCTGAAACATTAAACATGATGGTGGACTAGGTCCTAGATCCAATGTTTCTCCTAAACATAATGCTAGACTGATCCCCCCCTTTTAAGGTAATGTTCCTTACAAAAGTCTTCTCATTTCTTGTCTTTTAGATTCCTTTCTTTTGATAGATTTATTATCATAAATAAATAATAAAATATTTATAAATAATAAAATAGATTATTATTATTATTATTATTATTATTATTATTATTATTATTGTTGTTATTATTTCACTTCCCAAGCGAGGATATGTATATGTGAGTGGTATTATACTCCCAGCCCTGGTCCTCTTTTCCCTGTGTTTTCTCTGCAGCTGGTATTTCCATTTCTTCTGTTTCTTCCTCCTTTGGGGAACTCTTCAGGTTTGCTTCAAAGGAGGGCAAGTGAATACCTTTTGTCCAAATTGCAATGGCAATTAACGTGGCAGTTAAAGGCCACCTTCAGTTTAATCTCTTTGGTGCTTAGATTTTACTTATACTTATTTTACTTATGTTACTTATAGGTTGTAAGAGTTATTTTTTGCTCTCTGAAGATTTCACATATTGAATTTCTTCTCCCCTGTCTTCAAGGTGGTAATGAAACACAATGCTGTCATAGAGCACTTAAAACAGAAAAAGACATTAACTCCTGCTGAGCGTGAAGAGAATCAACGGTAAGGCAAATTGTAATTAACCAGGTATTAATTGTATAGGTCTTCCAGTGTTTCCTACTGCACTGCAATATGTGATAGTACAACACCAGTTTCCACAGTAAGTGGAATCCTCAGTTCTCATACACTAAATGGAAATGGAAGGGGCTCTTCTGGTCCAGGAGAAACATTTCCTAAAAGAAGAACAATGTGGTTATTATTTGCGTTTATTTTTCCCTCCAGCTCTATATGACTGACTGACTGACTCTTGCTCGATACCCTTCATATTGCAGACATTCCTCCCTATTATTTGTAGACATTTCTAGAGTGCAAGCCACTGCCAGAGGGAATAGTAACATTTCCTTCTCATCCTTTTCCATTAAATGTGTCATCATATGGGTTTAGAGATCTAAGCCTATGTTTTTAGGAGATAAATGAAAAGGAGAAATGTTTTTCTGTGTCTCCCAATGTCAGAATTCTATTCTGTAGGGCAGGTGTGTTACCCAAAATTAAGCATCATGAGTTCTACTTATTATCTGTCATGACTCCCAAAACCAGCCACATGATTGTGAGATTGCTAACATAAGAATGCACAGATATAGAAGCACGTAAGATGTAAAAAATAGCACAACAGATACCACATTTGGACTATCTGGATAGGTGTGCAGGGTCATCGCTGCGACCCAGCTTAGCAGCTGTGTAAATGAACTGTATTTTTTGGAGTATAAGATGCACCTTAGTTTTGGGGGAGAAAAATAGGGGGGGAAATTCTACCTACCAGGTATTCATCTGGCTAGCGTCCTTAGTCTGGTCAGCTTCAGCACATAACTTTACTAGTTTTGAGCGCACACTCTTTTTATCCCCTGGTTGGGGATAAAAAACAGCTTCCAAAGCTCAGCTGATCCTCGGAGAGAGAAGCAATGAGAAATGCAGGCAAAGCACAGCAGTCATTAGCGCCTCATTAGGGCTTAGAAAAATACATTAGGAGTATAGGACGCACCCAAATTTTCAGCCTCTTTGGGGGAGGGGGTGCGTTTTATATTCTGAAAAATATGTAAGTCATATCTAAGTCTCCTTCCTGTCAGAGGCTCCTGGGCACCAAGGCTGATGGGACAGGCTAAGGACTGACAGCTCCTTATGCTACCTAAGTATTGCTCTTGTGGTCGACCTGCCAATAGCAACTTCCTATATTCTCACCTGGGATGAGGTAATCTTGTCTATTTGCAAACTTCCATGAGCCATCCCTATGATGGGCAGAGGCTGTGTGACTGCTTCTTCCTGAAAAATAACTACCTTATTTTTCGGAGTATAAGACACATCTTTCCCCCCCCCCTAAAAGAGGGTGGAAATGTTGGTGCGTATTATACACCAGATGTAGCCACCCCGCCCTGCGCATCCCATTTCTTTTGAGAGATGATCCACACACAGTTCCCGCCAGCGTCCTGAGCTGCAGCCCAGCTATCTCTTTGCTGCATGACAGATCTGGGTAGATTTTTTGGGGGGGGAGGAAGGGAAGAGCACTGATCTGCTCCCCACGAAGGCTTTTCTCATGAAGCCAAATCTCCACTTTCTCTCTGGAAAAAGCTATTGGCATCGTTGGGATCTTGGCTAGTGGAAGAACTGTGCGATGGAAAGGAAACTTCAGAATGCGGGACCACCAGCTCGGGAGTCTCCCTGCAGCCTGGCACCTACCTTTGCCCTGAGACTAAGGAAGCCTGGTTGTTCAAGGGGGCAGCCTTGATGGGTTGTTTTCTTTGGGCTTCTCTTTTGCCACTGAGGCGCCACTGTAAGGAACCATTAATCCAAATGGAAGGGATCTCTACCCCTCCTTGCCAAATGGGCTGTTCCTAGTTGAGCGTGGCGGCGGCAGCCGTTCAGCAGCCCGCACACGTCTTTCTCGCTGAAGAGAAGAAGCAAGGCAACTGCCACTCCTTGGGTGAAGCGGCTCCACGTTACTGCCGATCAAAAGGAAGGGGGGAAAATAAAGCATGGGGAGATATGTTTAGTCCTGCTCTGCCATGGAAGGGGTAGAGAAAAGCGGATTTGAGATTGATAAACGCCTTACCCTTTAGGAAGATCGAGCCCATCCAGAGTTTTGGAAATCCCACAGCATAGTGTAGCAAGCTCTTCCGCACGCCACCACGCTGGCGGCGCCCCCCAGCCTGCCCCCCCTCCCCCGGGCTTTGCAATCACATCACAATCCCCAGTGGAAATCATTCTGCGTCAGCAATTTAGGGAACCTGCCTTTAACAACCTGCCTTTTCTCGAGGCTGAGCCTTCTGGGTCCAGGTGGTCGAGGACATTTGCCCTGTGACAGGTGGGAGTTCTCTAGGTCAAGCAGGAGTTCCTTTTTAGCCGTATTTCAGGATGGAGCGTGCAGAGGGCTTGGGAGGCCTGTAGAGGGCTCCTGGAGGCCGGGGAAGGCAAAAACTTTTTTTTTTAAATTTACCTCTTCAAAATCTTGGTGTGTCTTAGTCTCCAGTGCATCTTATAATCCGAAAAATACGGTAGGTCTTCTGTAATCATATTAATAGAAAGATTGACAACCATATCCCAAGGAAGAAGCTTGTTCTTTCCAACTCCAGCTGCCTTTGAACTACATTTCCCAGAATGCCAGAAGAGGTTATTACAAAATGGGTGTTTGTTGCAGTAGTTAAATCACATTTGCATGTTTGGTCCAGGCTTGGATATTAGGCTTACTTTGCTCCAGTCTATGGCTTCTTTGCGTTAAGATGGTGGAGTAATAACTGTGAATTGAATTGCAATTAAATTGATATTTGCTGAGGTAGGAAGAGCAGGAGCAGCAAAAGTCAGCAACTATACAATATGAAAATATAAAACTAAGGGAGAACGATCAGTTATCTAACTGGTAAGGCAACCACTGATGAATAAGGAATACTACATACATCTGATGTTTCCTTTTCCCATTCTCTGCTTCTTCAAAAAAATGTAATTAGTTTACAAGAACTAGACCAAACTTGCTAGTTGATGCTTCTGACTTGGTCATCCACACAGTCTGTAATAAAATGTGTGTTATCAGGTGCAATGGACCTAACCATTGACTTGATCCAGCAATAAAAATACTTCTTTACCTTCTTAATATTGTAGGATGTAAAGATCAGCAGGTAATGATGTGCTGCGGGTATGCTCAAAAGCACTTGAGTAAAAAGACTATTATTCCCAGTTGAGAATTATGCAGTTTAGGGTATTATTATGGTGCATAAAATTTAGTTGACACTCCCCCAATTATTACTATTTAATTACATCCTTCGTATTTCTTCACCAGAATGATCGTATGCAACCAAGTCATGAAATATATTCTGGATAAAATAGATAAAGAAGAAAAGCAGGCAGCTAAGAAACGAAAACGGGAAGAGAGTGTGGAACAAAAGCGCAGTAAACAGAATGCTTCAAAACTCTCTGCTCTGCTCTTCAAACATAAGGAACAGCTGAAAGCTGAAATACTGAAGAAAAGAGCACTTTTGGACAAAGATCTGCAAATTGAAGTGCAGGTAAAATCGTCATTCTTAATCGTGCTGGAAGACATGACATAATATTTTGATTTATTGTTTTGCATCCACAGGCAAAAAGTAGAGTTAGCCCTTTTCACCTTATGTTCATTTCCACAAAGCAGCATATTTAGGACCTCCCCATCCCATATGCCTAAGTGTGTTGTTTACTATATTTTCCTGGGCTTCAATTTGAAGGTGACTGGTGACACAGATGGTTGCCCTAATTCTGATGGTTATTGGTCACCTTTGAACTCATTTTTATTCAAGGTTGCTAATTGGTTGTTAATATTAAAGTGTGCAGTGCTTTAGATTCAAAGGGGAAGGGAGGGCTTCAGAATGCATAGGTTTCATGGTGCGTCTTCAGGGAACTGGGAGGGACCATGATGCTCTGCACAAACAGTTATGTGTGTCAAGTTGCCAACAGCCCAAAAAGCAGGAGTCTGGCAAGCATTGTGTGCAGGCCTGCATTTGGACTTATCAGCATGGACAGAGAGCAGGGGATGAAAGATATGGTTCGTGTGCTTGGACACTGTGTTACCAGCACAGAGAGTGAGAGGTGAGATACCAGTGTTGGGCAGGAGGGAACCATTAATAGTGTGTGCAAATCTTTCTTTCAAAGGCAAGGATGGAACATGGAGTGCAAGAAGCAGTTTTCTTTCTAACATTATCAGAATCAAAATTGTCATTAATTATGTGCTAGCCTATGTTGTAAAATAATACAGTGTTAAAATCCCATCAAAACACTTGTGAGAAGCAATAGAGACAGCAAGTATGTCCATTTAATGTAAATATTGATAAATACGATATAACCCATACAAACATAATCTCTTGGGCTGTTCTCTATAATTTTTAAAAAGTGGGAAGGGGTTCTGAGAGAAAAACAGTTTATGAAACCCTAGCCCAGGGTAGAAACCAGATGTTGTTTCTTCCAACAACTGTGGGATTAATGTATTAGCAGCATTGCTGATATCCTATGATGTTATTTTCTTCCTTTTTAATAGTTATTGAATGGCAGTGGGACAAATGCTTGGATTTGGGATAATGTTTTTTCAAAGCTTCCTTTGTCTTGTAGTTAAAACCTTTTGTAGTTATTGTTCCTTTAAGTTGCAGAAACAAAAGCTGGATTCATACAAAATTACCTACTTGAATTTGGCATGCAGTATTAATAAATTTGCCTCCAATATTTTTTTTTAACGGCATAAATATTTTTTGTGCACATGATTAAGCCAGGATCAGTATATTGCTAATGATGTAGATGTTTTTGATAGCTTGTTCTTCTGAAACTAGCTCAGTGCCAAGGTCTTCTTGGATGGAAGAAATCTGAGAAGCTCACGGCAAGAAAGCTTATGTGTTTTGCATAAATGACTAATTGCTAACCCTACACAAATACTTGCTTTTCTGTGGAAGTTTATCAAATGTTTTTTATTAAGTTATAAAGTATTATAAAATGCAAAATAGAAAAGTAAATAAAAGAGCAGTGAGAGGAGAAGGGAAAGGGGGAGCAGAAGTGAGGAAAGGTAGGGAAAAAGAAAAGCATTGACCTCTGACTCTCTCTATTGCAGTAGAATCGGGTGTTACATCAAATCACAGCTTTTGGTTTTTCCATAATAATATGAACAAGTCATTTCTATAAAGATCTATCAATCTAATCTATAAAACCCAAAGTCAGAGTTACATTCTTTTCCACATTAAGCCTGAAATTCAGAAGCTGTTTCTGTGGGTAAACAAAAGTGCTTATGTTCTTTTCTTTAATCAGAGTAGTCAGTTTTGCCATTTCAGCCAACTCCCATCAACTTTTGCATCCATTCTTCTTCCATGGTAGCTATCAAACTGGCTTTCCAATTTTACACGTACAATAGTCTTGTTGCTGTCAACATATATATATAGTAACAAAATTCCAATATTTTTCTCCAGTTCTTTTCCCATTAGCCCTAAATGGAAAAGTTCTGGTTCATTTCTATCTCCATTTTCAGGATTTTCTGTATTGGAGTGTGAATCATACTCCAAAATGTTTTTGTTTTATGACATGTCCACCATAGATGGTATAAAGGTCCTTCTTTATTTTTACACTTCCAACATTCATTTGACATACCTTTATATATCTTAGATAGCTTGCCTGGTGTTAAATACTGATACATCATCTTATAAAATTTTGTTTTAAATTATAATTTAGTGTACATTTTAAACCTTTTGTCCACATATTTTCCCATTGTTCGAGCATCATATATCCAAAATTCCTTGCCCACTGGATCATATAATGTTTTCTACATGATCATTTTCTAAGTTCAGTTTCAAAAATGTTTTATAATCATAACAATAATAGCAATAATATGTTCATCATTTGCCACATATTGAAAGTTCCAATTCATTTTTAACAAAATCAAATCCATAGCACTTTTTATCCATTTTAAACTTTTTCAATGCCAACTTTAGGGTCTTGCACAACCATTTGTTTTTTATTTTAGTCAGTCACTAACTTCTTTATTATACCTGATTCTCCACTTATGTCAGTGATTAGCTTGTATCTGATTAAAAAGTCCTTAGCTTTCTCTATGGAATTCAACCTAAATTTTTGCTCATGGTAGGGAAGTATCACCCCTTCTAGTCTATCCCAGTGAAATAAGATTTTTCTCGACTTCAAGATATCAGGAAGAAAAGCATAAGCTTTCCTTTTTCTCAAAATTCTAACAGGAATTTCCTTCAAAACAAGAACATCTATATTATCCATTTTCAACCTATACTTAAAATGACAATCCAGAACCTGATCTCTTGTTGTTTTTTCTTGCGAAGTGAACTAGGGCATCCCTTGGTAGCTTTCTCGTGGCAGCAAATCTGGAGTGCATTCTATATGTCTTGTCCATATCCAAATCTAAGTCTCGATCCCCTTTATTAGTTAACTGAGCCAAGGCCAACTTTGATCTGATATCTTCTCCTGGTTATTCAGGTATGCCAAATCTAATTAAAATTCTTTAATCTGAGCTTCCAAATCTTTGATCTCGACTAGCTCCACCTCACACTTAGCATTACTCTTCTCCAGCCCATGCCCCATAGTATCTATTCTGGCTTTTACCTGTTTCGTATCTCCTTTCTGATCTTTAATTTCTTCCTGGAGCTCCCTTACAAGCTCATAAATTTTGTTTTCCAGCTTTGACCTGTCATTTCGAATCTGTTCTTGCAATTTTAATAAATACTCATCCATAAATGGCTTTAAAAAATCTATATCTTCTCAGAGTGTCTGAGTCTTCTTTCCTCTTGACATATTTCACTGAATTTAATAGAACTAAAAGTATTCTTAAGCAGGGTCAGCAATATCACAGACTTTAGGCTCCCTCTTGTGGCTTTTCTGTAGACGTTTGATAGACTTTGACATTGTAAGATAAGTATCTATATGGCTTATTTTTGTGCTTCTGTTTTTCTTTAGGAAGAACTAAAGAAAGATCTATGTAAAATTAAAAGAGAAAAAGAAAAGGCCCAGGCTGCTGCAGCTGCGGCAGCCGCTGCTGCACTGTCTCCCCCTCCACCCCCGCCGCCACCACCCCCGCCGCAGCCACCACCTCCACCACCTCCCAGTTCCAGTGTTCCCTCCACTACTTCAGGCACATCCTATATTTCATCCCATAAAAGAAAGCGAGAGGATGAGAAGGAGTCTGCCTCTTCAAAATCCAAGAAAAAGAAAATGATTTCTACTACCTCAAAGGAAACCAAGAAGGATACAAAGCTTTACTGCATCTGCAAGACGCCTTACGACGAGTCCAAGTGAGTAAGGAATCTTAAGCGTTCGAAGGGTTTTTAGTTTAGCTTTAGCCTTTAGTTGTAAGTAGCTGGGCTGGAGGGATGGAAATGGAGTGAAACGTTAGACGCCGTTTTGTTGAGTAATTTGCTGAGAAAGAACTAAAAATATTAGCTCTCGGTTGTATTTTTTTTTCAAAGCAGGCTTTTGTGATTCATATCTTACTTGCATGTTTCCATTGTATGATCTTGTCTCACATTGCATATTCTTTACTTTGTCTCAACCCCCTTCTCGTTCAGACGCCATGGATTATAGATTAGTTTTCTTGGGCAGGCTCCAGATTATTTCTAAATATATTTATGGGGTAATATGTACTGTCTGGTGGGGAAGGGACTTTTTGAGTGCCAGGATACACATATTCTGAATATGCCAGATAGGTAGATAATAAGAGTAACTGGAAGATGAATGTGTTACAGTACAGTTTCCATAGAGCTACCAAGTGCTGTCATCCTAGATGAATATTTATTTTATTTTAGGGGAAATGGAAAGGGCAGGTCTTTAAAATATTGTTTAATAATAAAAATGAAAAATAAATTTATGTACTGTATTTTTTAATGTATAAGACGGACTCCCCCCCCCCCCAAAAAAAAGTGGGGGGAAATGGCTGTATTTTTTACAGCGAAAGTTGCTGAAGCCCTGCCCACCCGCCAGCCCGCATCCTTCGGCCTCTGCCACCCAGCAATTTGCCTCCTTGCAGCAAACAGCCTGGTCAGCTTCAGCACAACCTGATTTAGCAAGAGCAGCTGATTGGCATTTGGATCTGCCTCCCAGAATACTACCTATCAGCTGTTCCAGGCTGTACGGATTGCTGCCGCCCATTGCTACCGCCTATCACCATCTCTGCGCACCCCATCTTTGGCCTCCACATGCCCCATTTTTGGCTCATTCCAGGCAGCAGGGATTGTTGCCGCCAGGAATGGGCCGAAAATGGGATGCGCAGAGGCCGAAAATGGGACGTCCGGAGGTGGTGATGGACAGTGGCAATCCCCACAGCCTGGAATAGCTGATAGGCAGATCCAACCGCCAATCAGCTGCTCTTGCTCAATCAGGTTGTGCTGAAGCTCACCAGGTTGTTTGCTGTTTAGTGCAAGGAGGCAAATTGCTGGGAGGCAGAGGCAGATTTTTTTTTCTTGTTTTCCTCTCCAAAAGCTAGGTGCAACTTATAGTCCGGAGCCTCTTATAGTCTGAAAAATACGCTAATCAAAACATCATGATGCCATAGCTAATATAATTTAACAGGTCAGAAATAAGCTTTTGATTTGGATAGGATACCTGGATAATTTAAAAAGAGCAAGTAATATTTGAGAAATCCAGCAAGAGACCTAACTGTTCCATTCTCAGAATTGACTTGACTAAAATGCATCTTAACCATAATGGTATAACAGAAGTTTTTATAAACATGTCCTGGATTTCTTGGTGTTTATCTAGAGTGCGAATCAATACTAGAACTTTAACATTTTAAACTTATATGGTTAAGTGCAATATTAATAGGAGGCCTGAGTCTCAAGTCTGCCTATTGTATAAAATTATCATTTTCTGAGAGAATGTGAATAAACATAAAAACACCTCTCTTTCAAAATGTCTGTGGCACATTGTTTACTACAGTCATTTCTTGAACTATACTGTAGTATCTAAAGGAAACAAATTATCTAAGTGCATTGAGCAGAATGAGTCAGCACTTTTTTCCTAGAAGTTAAGCCCTAATAGTATTAGTGTGTATGAGAGAGAGGGTGTGTGTGTACGTGCACATGTATGTTGATTACAGTAATTTTTAAATAAAATACATAAAAATTGTTGTGATCAATAATAGTTGCTTTTCAATTCAGAAAGATAATTACATTTTTTTCCATGCTGAATCTATTGTGAGAGTTTATTGGAAGATCAGATAATTTATAGATTAAAAATAGTTAAGATTCAATAAGGCTTTCCTTCTGTTGAATTATGCTCATCATTGATGAAAGTGGTGAAAGTAGATCATTCAGATCCTGCAGAAAGACCGGAAGGCGTTTAGGACAGTGCTATCAACTGGACTTGCTTATGGTAGTTTAGGACCCAGCCATAATATGCTATATGTTTCTTTGGCATACTTATATGAAAGCTGCTTGCTTAGATTTAGTAAACAATCGTTAGAACTGCAGTGGAAGATAAGCAGAAGAAAAGGGATGGTTGGGATAATTTTTGGAGCAATTTGTAATAAAAAGTTATTTCATTCTTAATTTAGAGCAGAAGCCATCGCAAATATGTTTGCTGGCATATTGCAGGAAGGTTTTCTGTTTTCTCAGGAGTGGAGATTAGGGTTGTAGGCCCAGAGTACTATGTAGCAGCCTGATGCTTAAATAGCAGGATAATATAATGTAGTATGCAAAGGGAGGTTATGCAGTAAGGGTGGTGTTAAGGATATTCCAACTGATTTTGAGATTAAAGCTATCAGATATAATAAAGAGGTACAGGCAGTTCTGAATTTACAAGTGGACACTTAGCGACCAAAGTTATGGCAGACAAAAATAGCAATAGCAATAGCAGTTAGACTTATATACCGCTTCATAGGGCTTTCAGCCCTCTCTAAGCGGTTTACAGAGTCAGCATATCGCCCCCACAGTCTGGGTCCTCATTTCACCCACCTCGGAAGGATGGAAGGCTGAGTCAAACTTGAGCCGGTGAGATTTGAACCGCTGAACTGCAGATAGCAGTCAGCTGAAGTGGCCTGCAGTACTGCACTCTAACCACTGCGCCACCTCGGCTCTTATAATACTTATGATCCAAATTCAAAGTTATGGTGGGGGACGGGGACTGTCCCACAGTCATGTCACATTTTGGGCACTTAGCGATGGACCTGTAGTTACGACCATTTCGGCTTCTGATGGTCCTGTGATCACAATTTATAATACTTGTTTTGCTGGAATTTACTTCGGGTTTCTGACAAAAAAACACCTATCACTCAATGAGTGTGGTATTTGTTCTATGACTGCCACACAAAAAAACGAAAAATTGTAAAATTGGGCACATGCACATGGTTCTGGACTCAATTACATCTGTAAGTTGAGGACTACCTGCATCGAGGTACACAAATGAAACTGGTATGAGGTAACTTGTGTTCCTTTCTTCCATACCGTTCCCTCCCTCAGAGGTTTGAAGCAAACAATATATCTGAACCAGCAAATATGGTAGGCAGCACTAGCATCACACTTGAATCACTGAAAGAAGAAAAGAAGGGAGTGAGGAAGGGGCAATAAACAAAGGGAAGGGTCCCTTTAAAGTTAGAATTAATTTGCATGACATAAAATCATTTCACCTCTGTTCCAAGCCAGAGGTTCTTACAAACAATGGCCTTTTTTCTTATTTTGTTCTAATATTTGAACTTGAATACCGACAAGTGAAAGTTTGTAAGTATACAAGGATGAGGTTGCCTACTCTTATGGTGGTTGTTTTTAACTGACACAAAGTTTTTTAAAAATAGGTATTTTGAATAAATGGCCTGCCGTTATTTTCTTTTTTAATTTGAGAGAAGCTTCAAGTAGTTTTGAAGAAAACATACATTTACATGTCCCATTTTCCTTCATGTCATGTTATACCAATATGTGTTTTACATATGGCTGGTATGCATGCTGCTTTTTTTTAAAGTGTACCTGTAACTTCTAGTTGTATCTGTACTTCGCTTTTTTTTTTACATGGAGACCTATGTTTTCAAAATTTAAGAATGACCAATGTGCTTTGTTTTTTTTTTAGCAAGAGTTTTGAAAATATAGATCTTTTCCTTTGGCCGTGTCTTTCTGCATTCATAGTTGAGACATTCACATTTTTCAGATTTCAGTACTTTTTGTTGTTGTGGTTGTGGTTGTTGTTGTTTTGCAAAAATATGAAGAACTATCTGTTAATGGAGGGCCCGGCAAGTTTTCATTCTATGTTAGTTTGGGAAGAATAGATTAATGTGGCTAGGGAAATTTAATTCAGAAAAAGACAGAAAGTCAGGTTAGCAAGTGCCTTGCCATTTGAAATGACAATTACATTGTCATTTTCATTGTAAATACTTTTAGGTTCTATATTGGCTGTGATCTTTGTACTAACTGGTATCATGGAGAATGTGTTGGCATCACAGAAAAGGAGGCTAAGAAAATGGATGTGTACATCTGTAATGAGTGTAAACGGGCACAAGAGGGCAGCAGTGAGGAATTATACTGTATCTGCAGAACACCTTATGATGAGTCACAGTGAGTTCTGACAAGAACCTCTTATTTAATATTTAGGTAGCAAACTGCACTGAGTTTGGTAATGTGTTTTTTGAACAAAAAAGAAATATTGTTCAACATCTGTTGTACCTGGTGACATGATTTTAAACATCTCTAAAATGACAGTAAATTGTATTATGTGACACTCAGGGCGGGGGGGGGTTCTAGTATTGTCAGTAAAACTTTTATTCTTCAAAGCAGACTATTTTTTTATTGACTTATTGAACAAGTTTCATAAAATGCCTTCCTTACCTGCTTAGGAATTTGTAATTTATTTAAATTCATATTAATTTTAATTGATGCTGAAGTTAATGATGATAATTTCAAAATCGGTATATAAGTGCTATTGGTGCCCCCTTCATATTATGCTGTAGGACTCTGAATGTCAATTTTCTACAGATACTCTACCAATGTATTAATAGTACCTTTTACAAAACGTTGATCCAAAAGAAATGAGAATCTCTCATAATCTTGTTTGTAAATCACAGTTTATGACCTTTGTTCCTTTCTGCGCTAAGACATTTCAGTTGTTTGAGATACTAAGCATGGTTGATAAAGCTGTGTTTCCAATTGGGTTTCAAAAAAATTGAGTGTGAATGTGAGGCAAGAATCCTCATCTTTTTAGATTTGTTAACCAAGGAAAAGTTATAATGTTACAGGTGTTAACCGTTTTCTTTGGGATCTTGCAGATTTTACATTGGCTGTGACCGATGTCAGAATTGGTATCATGGGCGCTGCGTTGGTATTTTACAAAGTGAGGCAGATCTCATTGATGAGTATGTCTGTCCACAGTGTCAGTCGACTGAAGATGCCATGACAGTTCTCAGTCCTTTGACTGACAAAGATTATGAAGGGCTAAAGAGAGTGCTACGTTCATTACAGGTAAGGCTGAAACGTACGTTAGAGAATATTGTTTAATTAATGTGCCAACAGACTCTAAACCAGGGATGGGCAATTATGCTCCTTTATGATCTATGGATTTCAATTCTGGGAGTTGAAGTCCACAGGTCATAAAGGGGCCATAGTTGCCCACCTCTGTTCTAAGCACTCAGTTTCACAGGAATGAGTGTCCATTAGATTCAAAGTCCCCTAAATGCAAATGGAATTTTGTCCATTGCACCTGAGGTCTATTGAATTGCAGTCTAGTAAATCAGGATTCACTGCATTACAAAAAGCATTACGGTACGACTTTGGGAAGGTGGAGTTGACTTAGTTCAGCCAGTGAAATGAAAACTGCTGAGCAAGATCTTTGTGAATTGAACCTCACTTGAAATCAACAGCTCTGTCTGTTCTGTTTGCATGGAGCAGTAGGACAGATTTCTACAGGCGATTCCCTCCCCGCTTGTCCCAGTGTTTTGCAGCAATAGAGTTGATGTAAAAGCAGACTTCCCATATTAACGGATGATGTGTCTTTTTCCTAACAGGCTCACAAGATGGCTTGGCCATTCTTAGAACCAGTAGATCCTAATGATGCTCCAGATTATTATGGTGTTATCAAAGAACCTATGGGTGAGTGAATTACAGGGAATCCTGTATGTATGTGATTTTCATATGCTTTATTTCTTCCATAGGTTAGATGGCCACGGTATGTTTAACCTGCAGTGGATTAAATCCAAAACAACATTCAGCTGAATGCTTAGAAGTTCACTAGAATTTAGTAATAAACATGCATTGGATTGAAGTAATAATAATTTCCTTATGATTAGGGCAAGATATTATTTGCACATTTTTTATTCCTGTGGTCTTTCTGGGTTTCACATTATAAGATACATAAAAACAAATAAAATTGTGCCTGATATGTACAATCATGATACTTACAAAATAAGAATCAGAAAACATAATAAACAAGCCTGCAAAAATACTCTTTGATCTTTGAGTAACACGCAAGACTGGAACATTTGATCACTCTTCTCCATAAGTAACTGATTCTTGTGATGTTGATGAATGCCCAGAAAATGTTCACAGGGGTAAAGGACCTTGCAGTGTTTTATTGCTTGCATTCAGTTTTGTTGCTATTTAAGAGATGCTTCTTCATCTAAGCTTGGGTTTTCTGAATACATTGCTGTTGGTTAATTTCAGTGAGATTCAGTTAACAGCTTTTATATAGTGTGGCTATATTCCTTTGTTCTGCTGTTCACTGTAACCCCATTGCTTATCTTTTTCTTTAATATTCCTTTTTTTGTTCTTATTACTCTAATCTATTTCCTTTTCTTTTCTCTCTCAGTTTTTCTTTTTCTTTTCCTTTTCCTTCTTCATGACTTAAAGTCTACAAGACCTTGTATCTAGCTTGTTCTCAGCCCTCCCATTTTTGCCTATCTTACCATTGGATTGTGAATCTGTTTACAGCTCTGACAGTAATACTCTTTTTTTGAAGTTATAGATACCATTTGAAATTATATATCATGAGATGTTTCTTTTAATAAGGTAGTTCATAGTTCTTCACTGATAGAAAGTACTAGAAGCAATTCTCTTTATTTAGTGGAATAGGATACGGTATTTAGGAATATAAGATGCACTGGAGTATAAGACACACTAAGATTTTGAAGAGGCAAATTTTAAAAAAAGTTTTTGCACTCTGCAGACCTCCGAAATATGGCCCATTTTTTGTGGGGAGAAAAAGGGCGTGCATAGCCTTTAGGAGGCTTAAAGAGTGCTCCTGAGAGCAGGGGAGAGCAAAAATGAGCAAAAAATGGCCCATTTGTCAGTCATTTTTGCCCTCCCCAGCCCCCAGAAGCACTCCGGAAGCCTCCTAAAGGCTATGCACGGCCATTCTTGCAGAAAGGCGGGGTTTCGGGAGGCTGAAAATGCTGTATTCAGTTTATAAGACGCACCGAGATTTTCACCCTCTTTTTTTGAGGGAAAAAGATGTATCTTATACTCCGAAAAATACGGTACTTCTTTTAGGATTGGTGAGAGGCTAAATGAACAATAAAGCAATTAGTTTGTAAATTGAAGGCCTGACAGTTTTTTGGAGTCTAGATTGCTGTTGAAGATCTAGAATTCTTGCTTCCACTGTCTAGAAATGCATCTTCCAGATTCTCAGTTAAGCCAAAAATGAGAATTCCTGTTTTTGCCTCTATTTTAAGTTGTGGTGAGAAGAGTATTGCTCCCCAGCTGCAGCCAAAATAATTTTTTGTATTTCTCCATTATTTCCCGTAAACAGCTTCAATTCTGTGTATCAACAAGTCTAAAAAAACAGGATTTAGCAAACTGTATTTTAATCTGTGCCCTGCATTCCTATGTAACCCATTTACTATGGCTTTCTAACTAAATTACCAAATCTGCTTTTCCTTATTTTTAGCAGTGCTATAACATTTGGAGTTTACATTTGTGAGTAATAAGGGTGTGTTAGATACTGTTCTATTTTCCCACTCTTTAATGAAAAATGCACAAAATGTTTCAGAGTCAAAGAACAGTAACTCAGACATTTCCTGTACAAGCCCGCCTATTACTGTGACCGGTAGTTACCAACTGGGGGTCCTTGATCACACTGCGTTCTTTGTGCTGCAACTAATTGAACGATTCAGACAAGGTTCTGAATTGAAATAATGAGCGCTCAAGAGACATTAAGCATGTTTATATGCACTAATTACTCAGGGTAATTAAACAACAAGGAAACCCCAAACTAGAGAGTTCAGAGTATAAAAGCCAACCGGTCTCTAGTGGTGATGGATCTGTCTTAAGTTTCCAGAGGGCCCTCTTTCAAACAGCATTTACAAAAGTGCATCTTTATAACTAGGGATAACGCCCAGTAACCTGCCTTGCCTTTGATCTGGTCATCTTTGATTTAAGGAGCATTTCTTGCTGCCTGCTCAATGATTCCACATTCATGCCCTCAATACATATTCTGTATACGTGACTGGCATTCTACTCAAATGTTGGTTTCTTTTCTGACATATTTCTTTAGGTTTGGACTGTTATGCTGCAAGTTTTTGAGCTTTGTTTTTGAATAATCTGTGTTTGTTTTGAAGATCTTTCCACCATGGAGGAAAGAATACTGAAGCGCTACTACAAAAAGGTGACGGAATTTGTGGCCGACATGACCAAAATATTTGATAATTGTCGTTACTACAATCCAAGTGATTCTCCTTTTTATCAGTGTGCAGAGGTTCTTGAATCCTTCTTTGTACAGAAACTAAAAGGATTCAAAGCAAGCAGGTAAGCAGCTTTTCCCTGTAATATGATTTTTTTGTCGGTATAAAATATACTTTACCACTAGAAGGTACCTTTCTATTTTCTGCAGTATGTCTGATTCTCTCTGTATACTAGACTGAGGCAAATGACTACTAATTAGTCCAATTAAAATACAATTTTGTGAAATCATCAAGGTCTTTTTGTTTAAATAACAAACTGGGTAAAGTATAATAAAGAAAATAAAGGATATGCAGTGGAACTGAGTTTTGAATAGATCTGAGGAATGCAGCCCTAGGCTTGTTGATTCAATAATACTCATGCCAGTAAAAGAATTGCAGTCTAAATTGGAAGTGAGGCAGCAGTACATTTAAAGATTGATATAGTTATTTTTTTAATCCATTCATCTTGGTGATATACCTAAGTATCTGTTTAAATATTATCATAAGTGGAGTTCAAATATTTGGTATGAACTTAATCCTGTCCTTCGGTTCTTCTGAGTGATCAAATTGTAGACCGGGGCAGGCAATTACCATTTTTTCGGAGTATAAGAGGCACCAAGATTTTAAAGAGGCATAAATGAGCAAAAAAGGCCATTTTTTGCAAAAATGGGCCCATTTTTTGCCCCAAAAAGGACATGCATAACCTTTAGGAGGCTTGTAGAGTGCTTCTGGGGGCTGGAGAGGGGGGCAAAAACAACCAAAAAATGGCCCGTTTATTGCAAAACC